CTATTACCACTACTGCTATTTCTACCACTACTACTATTCCTACTACTACTATTTCTACTACTACTATTACCACAACTGCTATTTCTACAACTATTACCATTCCTACTACTACTACTTTTACTACTACTATTTCTACTAATATTACCACTACTACCTTAATACTACTGAAAAACATATATTCAGTATGTTAAACACTTAAACAAGCCATTTCTGATATATTTATATATATTCTATTCAACACCTACCCCACGATTGCTGCTCTATGACACGTATTTTGACTCAGGTATCCATTACCACTACTATACATACATATATGTATATACAAAGTTTTAAGTTTCAGAAATCGAATACAAATATGCCCGTCTCAGTCGGTAAGCACGAGCATAAACACTGAATGAAATATCAGACTCGTTTGTTAATGAAAATTAATGAGATATGTTTGGCTGTCAGAAAAGCTGACTGAGAATGTTATAAGGGCATTTGTGTATGTTTCTATATATACTAGATAAAAAACAAATGTGAGAAACGAATATTAATGTTCAATATTTAAAGTTTAATAAAAAAAAACTGGAAAACGATTAATGTGGATAGAATTAGAATAGAGTAACTAGAATCATACTATTAATGAGATATTATTATTGACAAACTAAATTTAGATGAGTTAAATTAAAACAGTAAAGCTAGATGAGTAAGCAAATACATTTAATTTAATCTCATTGGATAGCTCTGCCATAACTAATTAGAAAGAAGTCTTAACGACTTTCCCCCGAGCACAAACGAGCGAAAGTCGAAGCAATTTTAACAAATTCACATTAACAAACGGAAAAAATATAGGAAAGCTGGATGATATTTATAGAAAATAAACGATTCTAAATACGTAATCGAAGAGGATTCTCATTTACTCAGCGATAGTTCGAATGAAGCTGCCTCGAGAAAAACTACTCAATAAGGGCGAGCCAATAAATCAAGTTAACTTTGATTACATGGCTTCATTTGCAACAGCTTGAAGCAACAGATGCGTCACAGAGAGAGAGAGAGAGAAAAAGAGAGAGACACTTGAGCTTCAGTTCAACTTTCGTATGGCACTTTCCATTTTATAAATCATACACAATTTTAGTTAATAGAGCTTTGCCCCAAAGCAACCAATTACCAACTGCTCCGCGACTAATGATAAATGACAGCGAGGCACAAAACATAAACACAGACAGAGACAGAGACTGGGGCAGGGGCAGAGACAGGGACAGACACAACAGCAAGAACAACAACAAACGTTGCTACTTGTAAGCTGACAATCAAACAAAAAAGAAGAAAGAAAGAAGAAAAACTCTCCACACACTCAGATAATTAAAACTAAATTTTTGTTCCACGCTTTCGCTTATCAACGAAGCAAGATCTTGGTGCCCCATCAAATCGATCAAAAGCTGACATCCGCTGACTGCCAGCCCCCCGCCCCCAATAGCCGCAGCTCGTCCCCGCCCCCACTTGTGTGAGGCCTGAGCCCTATCTGGAGTTGCATCGAAATGCATTTCCGTGAAACGCAACGAGCATGTGCATCCTCAATGGAATGCCTTTGTTCAGGATCCCCGCCTCCTGCTCGCCACTTCACTCCCGAGACGTGACTCATTGCTGTTTATTTATTTTTCTACGTTTTTCTTCTTATGGCCTACTACGAGATTATAATGTGCTCTTGCGGTGCTTCATTAGATTCCGATTCGGTTTGGGTAATTTGATAGGCTTAGCGATTGGGAGCATGCATTAAAATATCAGTTGCCGTTTAGTAGATATTTTCCAATAAACTGTATATCTAATGAAAGTGGTAATGGAAGGGTACATTGGCTGGCGTTTCGTGTGTGATGAAGGAGATCTCTTTGACAGACAGTTGAGTGGATAGAGCTGTGGTCGGTCGTGGAGGAAATAGATTAATTTGGGTCTTAAATTTGTACACATTTTTTGCCTTTCTCAAGCTATCTACAGATCATCTAACTTCATGGTTGACTTCTAATTAGGTGTCTAACTTTATACAAAATTTATTGTAATTCAATAATTGAAATATAAGCATTTGTATGAGCTATGTGCCTAAAATAAATTAAAATTGAATTTCCATCTTAAATCATAATTTTTTTTCATCCTAAATCATATTTTTTTATCAACTCATTTCTCATTTTCCTTTTTATAGGATTATTAGCTAAGGCAAACCAATTGGATATAGTATAAGCAGATTCTCCCCATAAAATTTTCATTTTATATATATGTATTTTATTTTTAAATTAAAACATAAAATATTTATTACATCCGCTTCAATTTATATGCGCATATAATTATGTTTGTCAAGATTTAAAAAATTGATAAACACTGAAATTTATTCAAGAACAGAGTGTAAGAAATATTACAAATATTATTTTTCATTCAAATATTCTGAATATTTTATAGTCTAGTATAAAGAAACTGTATATGTGTTAGCATCTCACAGGGTATGCTTTAGTCAGTCAAATATGTTCCCCTGCTGCCTTTTTTATGGCTAGTAATCAAGCTGGTCGAGCTGCCACTTTATGGCCGAGCCATCAAAAGGTGATTAGAGCAAACCTTAATAACTTAAGCATCTTCTCGATTTTCCGTTTCAGTTTGCAAGGAATGGCTCGTGCGTGAGGACGGCGCCCTGGCCTACAAGCTGCAGTCCCAGGAGAGTAAGTGCTTTAGCCTTTTTTATTTTACAACATTAGATTGCACTTAAATGCCCTCTCCCTCTCGCGCCCTCTCTCCCCATGCAGTTAACGACTTTTATAAGGGCAATCGGTACAGGAATGCAACGGTGCGCGAAGATTTCCCCACGGCGCTGCACGAGCAAATTAAGGAAACGGAGCAGGCCCAGCGGCAGGTGGAGGCCTATCGAAGACGCCTGACAGAGCAGTAAGAATATATATTAGGTTCCTCAACTATTCTCTATGCTTTACTAATGTGAGTTCTCTTTATGTGGCAGGGAGGAGCATGATAAACGTGTGGCCAAAGAGATCGCCGAGAAGCTGGAACGCGATTTGCAGGAACAGCAGCAAAAGGAGCTGCAGCAAAGCGAACTAATTGCACAGAAAATGCAGGTGTGTTGTCCAATGAGATGAGCAGAGATTATGAGAAAAACTAATCTTGGATAACAGAGTAAAATATGGCATGGAAATGTGAAAAAAATAATATGATGATGGAGAGGATATCAAATAACTATGTGCAGGGAAAAATGTATACTAGATTTCAGAGAGTATACAAAAATGTATGTTTACTTGAGGAAACTTAAGAAGAATATATGTTAGATTGAAGGAAATATAGGACAGATGCACATTACACTGAAGACAATATGGGGCGCATGCAAAGAAGAAGAAGAATGAAGAATGTATAAGAAGAATACATATCCGATTGAATAAAGTCTAAGATTAATGCATACTAGATTGAAGAAATTATAAGAAGAGTGATTAAGAGATTGATAAAAGTATAAGAAGAATGCATATCACATTGAAGAAAGTACCAGAAGAATTTAAATAATATAGTAGGTAGACTATAGAACAATTATACCTCAATTAGGACAATACGATTCACAGACTTATTCCTACTAGAAAATTATGATATATTCAGATAGAATATATCATCCACGATGCATTGCCTCAAACTATCTATTATATTTCGTAAATAGATTATAAAAGCTTGTGCTTCCACTTTAAATAACTCTAGTCTTTCCTCTAACATAATCCACACTTAAAATCTGTCACGCAACTAATCTGTAACCATTGCAGGAGATCTATGTGAATCTGCCGCCGGTGCCGCCGCCAGCAACACGCGACAAGAGCCGCCCGCCGCCGCGACCAGCCAAAGCAAGTATACACCAGCAGCAGCTGCAACTGCAACACGAGTCGAATAGCAGAGTCGAGCCCAGCACCTCACAACAAGCTAGATATCTCAGTCAGCAGCAGCAGCAGCAGCAGCTGCCATTGCTGCTGCAGCAGCAGCACTTTTCACAAACAGACAACTATGTAGGATTGTCGCTTATACCAAATATTGTTGATGTGCCAGCAGCAGCAGCAGCAGCGGCAGCTATCACACCCACTAGACAAAAAACACAGCCACAACACAATCAGCTGTTGGTGAGTGATGCTGAGCACACGCCAACAACAATTGCACCGCAGCAACAAGCACGCCACCATCACGCACATCAGCAGCAACATCAATCAGCACGTCGTTTAGCACCAACAACACCAACACCAACATCTACATCTGCATCTCCATCTGCATCTATATTGCACAGCATTACATCTCAGCACACTCCCACACAGAACAGCATCAATCATCAGGCAGCTGACATAGACGAGCTGGTGGACTATGCCGATGTTGCTGACAGCATACGCGGCCTGTCGGCAACGGGCGTCGGTGCAGCTGCTGCAGCAGCAACTGTTGTCGACTCAGCCATGCCCCAGCGCTCGGCCTCACACGAAAACTTACTGCGTTCCGAACCGCAATTTCAGAAACTATCGCCGGAGAAATACGATCAGATGGTGGGCAACTTTGCGCTGGGCAGCGCGAAGGCCGTCGAGCGGCACATGCAACAGCATGCGGACGACATTGAGCTCTATGTGGATCCCTGCGACTATGCGAGCCTACGCGAGATCGGACTGCCGCCCGAGGAGCTGCACGAGCTGAGCAAGAAGCTCAAGCAGGAGCAGAAGGATGAGGTGCTTATACAGCCATTGCAATGTCTCTAACTTTTACTAATGTCCTTTGCTTTCTTGCAGCTGCTCGCGCGTCGCCTGCAGGCCATTGAGAGCAAGGATAGCGCGCTCCAGGAGCAACGCGATCGCATGCTGGCCATCGAGGCGCAGGACAAAGAACTCGCCAAAATGCTGCAGGAGCGCGTAAGTTGAATAGATCGGAAATTTCGTTTTAGTATTTAGTAATCCTAATCCTGTTGTTACACTGTATATAATTTATTATATATACTTTTTGTTCCAAGTACGGAAAAAACATATTCAAATTAAGGAAACTCAAAATTTCTGCAGTTAAGGTAAAAGAAATGAGTCGAATTTTGTATGCTTTACTGAAGTAGGTTCATGCCGATGCAGCTAGCCAATCGTTTCAATCAATAATAATCATATTAGTTTATCAGGGGACCAGAAATTTCATCGCAATAATCGAACGCTATAAAAGTCGGTGTAACAGATTTCTATTGTATATTATACAATGCTTTGACGCGTATGGGCTCCATGACCTTCTACTCAATGCACTATTTTATCTTTTTATGGATGCCTAGAGTTTGATGCATTTACAGGGTATCAAGTTGGCATCTATAATGCAGCATTCGATATGCCTTCCTATAAATCAACTATACATGAACTGAATGAAATCTTGTCATAGACTATTCTCGATTAGATCATGTGTAAAAGCTTTACTCAGCATTAAAATTGAAGTATAAGAAATCTGAAAAAAAAAAAAATACCCAAGAATATATTTTATATATTAATTTAAATGAATATCCATTAAACATAATTTTCAAATATTTAACTCCAATCAAAAATTGTTCGTTCTCATTTTTAAAGCTTTACATAATGAAATATTTTAACATAAAATTAGTTGTAGTAATAATATTTTGAATGTATTTTCTTTATACCCAAATAAAACTAATTCATCTTGTTCGCCCTCTGCAGGAGAAAGCCAAAGTGAAGCGCGCCAAGGAGAAGGCGCGCCTGCGCAAATCCCAGCAAAAGGAAGCAGCAGCCGGCGCTGCTGTTGGAGCCAATGGGGTAAACAGTTTGCTGTGCGGCACAAATGGCTCGCATTGCGGTCCGTTGCTTGCGCTGCCGCAGGACTGCATGTCCGCGTCACAAATCCAAACGCCAAACGATATCGACGTGGAAGCCTATTCGAATCCCATAGATGTGCTCAACAGCAGCCGAGCTGAGCAGCGCCAGCCGAACGGCACGCTGACCAATGGCAGCCTGACCAGGGACAGCAGCTCCTCGCATGGCTCCATGCAGCGACAGCAGCGCCAGGCGGCCGCAGCCGCCAGCAGCCTGACACGCGGCGACGATGACATCTACACGCTGCCCGTGGACAGCTGCCGGCCGGGGCATCAGCGACCCATCTCTTTGCATTTGACGGCCGATGCGCTGCAGCAGCAGCAGCAGCAGCATAATTCCATGACGCGGTAAATATAACAATAACTATCTCTATAGGCATTTAGTAAAGTTATTTATTCTCTCTCTAATACCAGTTCGGAGCACTATGGCTCGGAGGCGGGCTCTCACGACAGCACGCTGTCCAGCGGTCACGATGTCTCGCCGCATCTCAAGTACTCCAAATCCGGCAACTTTGGTATATATGTATTTAACTGCCTGCTCAGCAATCAGCTGCTTTATACTAATCCATCTCTCACTGTCTGTAGATCAAAGTGCCAGCCCTACGCCGCCTTACATGCCAATTCAAGGTACGCGACGATCAAATTCAAGTGAAGATCGTAAAAAGAAGTCCAAGGACAACAAGTGCACGCATCAGTGAAGCCGCCCTGCGTTCATAGCATATAACTGATCTTTACCACATATATATATATATACTTACATCGTACATTTTGTATGCTCGCTCTCTCTCTCTCTTTGCAAACGACAATGAAATTGTTTAGCTCACATCAAGCTTCATCATATATACAATATTCACAACTTTAACTAGTTTAGTTTGTATTTTTAGATAAGCTTTATTTTAATCCTTTGTTGTGTGTATCGCATCTGTTAACAGACAACTCAACTTTGGGTTTACAATAAATGTTTGTTAATAAGCATAAAAATTTTATTTGT